CTCAGTGTTAACTCCCTCAAATCAAACCTCTTTTACCTTGGGAAAACTCCCCAGAAAGGCAGAATGCTAGCAGATATCCTCCAATGCTCCGTAGGCTCCCTCCCTTTCTCATACTTGGGCCTCCCCCTTAAAAGAGGATCTCTCTCTAAAAGAGAGTGGCAACCACTCATTGAATCTTTTAAAAAGAAGCTTTCTCTTTGGAAAAACAAATCCTTCTCCATTGGAGGAAGGCTAACCCTTCTAAACTCTAGTTTATCGTCTCTCCCTCTATATTACATGTCCTTTTTCAAGTTGCCACAGTGGCTAATCAATGCCATAGACAAAATCAGAAGAAATTTTCTTTGGAATGGCAGCCACTCTCACTCTAGTACCAAATGCCTTATCAACTGGGGGAAAGTCTGTAAGTCCAAGGCTGAAGGAGGTCTTGGGGTCATAGATACTGAAAGCTTCAACAAAGCTCTTCTCTCCAAATGGTTATGGAGAATTTTCGACAGAAACTCACTCATAAGCAAAGTATTTTTCTCGGTTTACTCTAAAGAAGAGTCCAACCCTTTTGCTCACCCTCCAAAGAGTTCGGCTTCAAGATTTTTCCAGGACCTATACTCCATCAAATCCACCTTCTTCAGCCTGGTTAAATGGAACTTGGGGAATGGCAGATCTGGGAGTTTTTGGCATGACAAATGGATTGCAACAAACTCCCTCAGCAGTCTATTTCCAAAAGCTTATCACCTAGCTCTATCTCAGAACTGATGCATCAGATCTCAAGGCAGATCTCTCAACAATGTTTGGCATTGGCATCCCCTTATCAGAAGAGGAATTCTTCACTCAGAAAGGTTAGAAATCAATCTCCTTTTAGATCTTTTATCATCTTCCAACCTCAGTATCACCTCCTCTCCGGATGAGCTTTGGTGGCCGCTACTTCCATCGGGGGTTTACTCAGTTAAATCCTTCTACTCTTTTGTCAATTCCGGGGGCATTAAATCAAAATTATTCAGTATGATCTGGAAATCAGCCATTCCGACCAAGGTAAAAGTCCTGTTTTGGATCATCTCCAACAAGAAGTTGAACACGAAGGCTAATCTGATCCTGAAGGGCTGGACAGGAGACCCAAGATGCTCTTTCTGCCAATCTGGTGTAGAATCTCATGATCACCTTTTTATTAATTGCTCTTTTGCTCATGCTATATGGTCCTCCATCTTCCCCTCTCTTCCTACAGGCTGCTGGCCTAAGACAATGGATGAGCTGTTTGAATTCCACAAATCTCCAAACTTTTGTTCGGATATTAAATCTATATGGAGGATTCTGTTGTCCTGCACATGTTGGTGGATATGGTTCAGTAGAAACATTCTTATTTTTAAGGATAGTCAATCTAATCCATCTCACATTGCCTCTAATATCGGGAGATATACACTAATGTGGGCAGGTGCTGAAAAGGAGAAAAGGGCCAGGAGTCTTCGAAGGGCTGCTTCAAACATCGGTCTATAGGAGCTTGCAAATAAGTATGCTGATGCTTCAGGGGATTACTTCTCCCCAAGTCCTCCATCTCATGATCCACCATAAAGTGGCTGTAATTGGACACTTCTCTTGTGTGGGAAAATCTGATGTTTTTCTTCCTTAATTATGTCGTTAATTTCCTTGTTTGCTACTCTTATCTCTTGTATGTAAGTATGTATCATGTGCCACTAGCTGTAGTATTTCGGTGGGTTTAGCATGGTAGGTGACGACATAGGTCCGCTCCCTATCTGCTTTCACCCTCTGCGATCCTTCACCTAGTTGGTGGTCTTATCTGTAATGCTTTGGTTTTTAATAATATCCCTATATGAGCAGCCTTCTAAATGAAATTTGGCTACAATAGTGGTATCAGTTTTCTTTAGATTAGGAGTTAGTGCATTAATCTTCAACCAGAAAGGGACCGGAATACTAAATGCAAGATCAACATTGTGTTATGTATGGTCTGTTTGGTATACTGCAATACTAAATGAAGCAAATGTTGCACGAAATCAGCTCAAGTCCGTTGTTTGGTAGCCTAGATTGATCTTTACCGAAGCAAATGTATTTCCAAACTCAAATCTAGCGAATGATTTATCGGTCAATGAACAGAGGTACAGAATAGACTCAGACATACCCGAGCGTTACTAAAACAACTTCTGCATGTGGCACGGACGAAAGCCAAATATGAAGGCCACCACAAAATGTAACACTAGTTCGCAACCAACCCTGACCGAAAATCATAGGGATTTCACTCATCTCTTCGTATCATATGGTCCAGGATAATGAAACAAGTAAGCAAGCATCTGAAACTGAATGTATATTATACAAAATAGCATCTGGACACCTCTTCACATTTTTATGAGCTTTGTAGTTCCTCTCTTGACACAAACAATAAACAGTTGCTGCAAATATAGCTCTATTAACATCATAAGCACGATTCCATCAAACTATCCCAAATACAACATTTCCTCTCGAAACTCAAACCAACCTATTACTTTGTGCACCGCACCCCCCGCACCCTCCAACCCATAGAGAAGCAGATAAAAACTAGATTGTTGTGAATTTCCTTCTCATTCTCAGAAATCGCATCAACCCAACCCCCTCAAGCTATCCTGTGCCATTAGCCTTTGTCAAAAAATGCCTATTTAGAAATAGTTTAAATACTGCCCACTATTTACAACAAGAAACAATACTATGAGATAGCAGAAGATCAACATAAGCCCTAACCATCTTAAATCTCTCATTTATACACCAGTCCTTCATTTTAGCTACAAGCTACGTTGCGTGGGAACAGTTACGAGTATGGGTACGTGTATGAGTATTGCACACGCCTATATAAATATTTACACACACAAACTCACATATATTACATTGAAATTAGTAATTTGCAGGAGATTAATATTTTTTTATTCACATGTTATGAGAATTAAAAATTTTATAATATTTTTATGTTTCTGATAATATGTTGTAAAATAGTTTATTTTTTAACTTGATACCCAAGCAACCAATTAAAATCATAATTTTGAACCCAACAAATTTCAAGAAGTGGACATGATGTATAGGATCTACAATACGCTAAGTGTTTTAAATTACAATATGCAGTATTTAATTGATTAATTCCCAAATAAATATATGCATATCTGTGGGGAGTGCCGAAGGAGGTTGGATATATGTATGTCTAAGTACATACGACTTAATATAGAAGTATCCAGGTAATATAGGCAATAAAACTAGATACAGATCCCCAATTCAACACGACCATGTCTCTGAGTTTCATTAATTATTTCAAGAACTATGAATCTCTTGCTTTAGATTGAACATCACAAGTAGATTATCTTTTTAAATAATTTCCATCAACTCAGCTTATATGCATCATGTCCTTCTTCTCATATATAATCCATAATAATTTGGGATAGAAGCTTCGTTTCAAATTAATATACGCAGAAAACATACTCATGGCACAAACTTCTTTTCTTTGACTAATGTAGTCCTAAAAGACGAGATCTACAACTCTCTTTACATCATGAATGCCCCACAAATGTAACTCCTACACAAGGAATGCACTTATTTCAAAATTTTATTGGGCAAAAAAGCTACTTGACCAGAACAAATAGATGCCAAAAAAACCTGCCTAACCAATTACGCTCTGCGATCAAAGAAGAGAAATCTGCCTTCTAAATTTTCTTAACCCTCTCTCACCATGAAAAAAAAATTGATGCAACTCTCCAGTAGAGAAAATAGACTAAGAAGGGCTTGAAACACAAGTCATTATCTACTCTACGGAAAAGTATCATGTACACTCCAGTATATGTCATTAAATGTCCAACAAGTGAATGTCGGCTCTTGGCTCATTGGATTTTAAGATCCGTGCATAGATCCAAGAGTTGGCATCTTTTGAGTGCACAGTTAATACAATGTACTGTCCTCACTGGATACATTCTCCTATTCCACAACATTGTCATGAAAATCCAAGCCTTTATAATATTTTTCTTAGAAAGGCCAAATCAAAGGCATCAGTATTTCTTTAATGTAATATTTAACATGCACCTTAAGAAATACTCTTCCTCCCATAATGTTTGTCCAACTCCTTGTCAAATACTCCTAACCTTCTGAAAATGTAGATTGAGCTTCATCCACTAAGTCGCCCATTAATATTTTATCTTATTGGTGAATCCAGTATTAGATTAGTTACAAATTAATGCTGTTGGATTTGCATATTTTTTGCACAAAGTGCATTTCCATTGCAAATCTAGTATTTGTTTTGCTCCTATTGAAAAATGATCCATATCTTTTAAGTTGGAATCAACTAATTGGATGATGTAAACAATAAATTTTAGTTATTTTAGTTGATGCATGGATTTACAGCATCTGTTACAGCAACTCACAGCAACAAAAGTTGCAGGCAAATTGGCTACAATTAATGATGCAAAAATATTCAATGAAATGCAAATATATATACCTTTCCCAACTAACTTCTTGTTCACAAAAAATGGAAATAGAAATCCCACTGTAGAATTTGTCGATACAATTGTTTTTCCAGTCAACCAAGCAACCCAATAGAGGAGCATTAAAGCCATTCTATGTTGTTAGTTATGCAGTTTAAGTTCATGCAAACAAAAATCATATCTAAGAATCATCCTGGAACTGAAGATATTATTGTTAAAAATGAGAAATAACATGTGTCACAAGACCTAGCCTCCATGCTAACGTGATATAAAACTAAAAAAAAAATGTCCCAGTTTAGTATCTATGTAGTTATGAAATACAAAGAGAACTACAACCTTAGTAATATAGTAACCTTATACAAGATTGTTTATTGAGCCAACATTTGATGCTATCTCTAAATCAATTTTTACTTTCAACTTGGATGCAGTGGTGATTGATATGATTTACCATTATGATACAAGTTGCTTCTTATATTTCCATTCTCTTGATTGAAACAAATTTGAAATTTGTAATTCCTTAATCAAATCATATTTATAAATAATTATTTTGCTTGTTTCTTCTAGTGCTTGCCCTCACGCTTCACGCCTTTGGAGTTCACTTCTGTTTTTCAGAAGCTAAAGAAATTGTGCATAACTGATCTATGTACTAGAGATCCGGAACAAATTTTTGCCATCACTTCATTTCTTCGAAGTTTCTCTGAGTTACAAGAACTTATTGTTGAGGTAATACTTCCTAAAGTTTTTTAAGTTTTTCCCGATTTTCATCTCTCTTATAGACATGTCTCTAGAAGATTCTCTCGATATTATCATCGATAAACAATTGACTGCAAATGTTGTTCTTGATATTACAGGTAAATACGTATGAGCTAGAGATGGTAATACAGGACAGACCCAAGCTATGGATCAGACCCGAGTTCAATACCCAACAAACCTTACAGTTGAGGTAACTCACATTCTAAAGTTTTCATAGTTTTTCATCTCCTTCACTGACATGTCCAACATTGTCATTCATAAACAATTAACTGCAAAATTTATTGGATTTGCAGGTAAAACCATGTGAAATAGAGATGGTGATCGCGAACGGATCCAAACCAATAAATCAGACCTGTGCTCACCTAGCCCTTACAGTTGAGGTAAGTCATTTTCTGAATTTTCCACAAATTTTAATCTCTTTCATGTACATGTCTCAAGAAGATCATCCTAACATTATCATCGATTGACAATTGCCCTGCAAAAGTTATCAGTTTTGCAGGTAAAACCATATAAACTAGAGATGGTGATACCAAACAGACCCATGCCAATACGACAGACCCATGCCTACCCTGCTAGCTTGACCCCAGCTCACCCTGTTGGTTTTTGGAGAATACAACTCTCTACACAAAGGGAACTTTTATTGATAGTTAACACTAGAGAGTACAACACTTGCTCTTACAAGAACACCTCACTTTCACTCAACTCTCTTATTTTGGTGGACACTCACATAAACCTACACTACACGCTAGCTCTCAAGCTCACTTCTTTCTTGCTTACACAAATGAGAGCACAAGACCCCTAATTATAGTTGCTTACGAGGGCTGGGAAGTGTGTGGAAAGTCAATCCTAGTCATACATTAGTAAGAAATTTCTAGATGAAAAAATACTAGCCATACACTTGTATCTTCCTAGAAACTTCTTGGTAGATATTTTGTAAAATGATACTAGAAAGAAGTTCTAGAAAATTGTTCTAGAATAATCTAAGTTGGTGAGGAATTCTAATACTCCCCCTCATCACCAACTCTATTTGCTCTTGCAATCATTCCAAGTCATTCTTGAAATTCTATAAATTTAGAAGGATTCAAGCTCTTGGTGAAAATGTCTGCTACTTGGTCTTCGCTCTTGATTGGTTGCATCTGTATTTCTCCTTGTAGCACCTTTTCTCTTATATAGTGATGATGGTTCTATGTGCTTCATTCTCACATGAAAAATCGGTTTCTCTACCAACCGAATAGCTGATTGGTTGTCTTAATGGAGAGGTACCGGATAGTCGATTGGCTGATGCAGATTACTCAACAGTTGCAGTAACCATGTGCTCTCTTGGGCTGCCATTGTTGCTGCTCTGTACTCCACCTCGGTAGTAGAAAGTGACACTGTCAATTGCCTTTTGCTACACCATGATACTGCTCCTGATCCAAGACTGAATACATACCCTATTGTTGATCGACGAGTGTCATGATCTCCAGCAAAATTTGCATCGCAATGTCCATGACTTTCAGTGATTCTTCTTTCCTGTATAGTATTCCAAAGTCAAGTATTCCTTTTACATACCTCAATATTCGTCAAACTACTCTTAGATGAGGTTTTGTTGGCTTTTGCATAAACCGGCTTGTTACTCCAACTCCAAATGAGATGTCAAGCCTCATAATAGTAAGATAGATTAGACTACCAACCAATTGTCTGTATGTAGTCAAATCCTCCATCTCTTTGTCTTTTTCTGCACAAATTCTTGCATTTACCTCCATAGGAGTTGTGATTGTCTTGCACTCTAGGATCCCAAATTTTTGCAGGAGATCTTTTGCATACTTGTGTCGGTGCAAGAATATCCCTTCTATTCGTTCTACCTCAAGCCGAAGAAGGTGTTTGAGCTCTCCAAGTTCTTTCATTTGGAATACTACCGCCAGATTCTCTCTAATTCGATGAATTTCTAGTTCATCATCTCCAATGATGATAAGGTCATCTACGTACACTAGCACTATTGCTAGTCTCCCTTCTTCAAATTTTACGAACATGCTTGAATCTGCTGGTGCTAGTGTATATCCATTATGCACCAAAAATTCTGCTATCTTACCATACCATGCTCCTGGAGCTTGTTTTAGTCCATAGAGAGTTTTTCTCAACTTACAGACATATTCTAGATGTTCACGATTTTCAAAGCCTTCTGGTTGCTCCATGTATACATCTCGATCTAGCTCTCCATGTAGAAAGGCATTCTTCACATCCATCTACCATAACTTCCATGACTTATTTCTAGCCAAGGCTAGAAGGACGCATATTGTAGTTATTTTAGCTATTGCACTAACTCGCGGGATCGGAGCGTGACAAAAAGTATAATGGGGCGTTTGATAATTCATTCATCCATATCATCATGCAAGTGAAATATAGTATTTCTTTGAAAAATGAAATTATCGTTGAAAGTGCAATGTGGGGATGATTTGACGAAATAAAATTAATTAGTAAATATAGCTAATATCATTTAATTAAAATTGATTATTATTTTTATCATTTTTATGTGATTTCACTACTTTTTTAGAGCTTATTTGTTTGTGGGGAAGTAGCTATAAGTAGCTAAAGTAGAATAAGTAAAAGTTACTTCCTCTGCTTCCATAATTGATGATGTGGCGTCTATGATCATATCTAATTTTCAAAAAAAAAATCCATCATGTCGGCTCGGAAATGGTTTAGAATAAGAGGGAAAAGTTGTGGTGTCACAGGTGAGAGGGGATATCGCAAAATTGGGATCATATAGGGTCGGCGCTGCCCTCTTCCTATCGGATGATTTTTACTAGTCAGGCTTGAGTAAGGCTACTATAAACTTAAGTGGATAGAAGTTCTTTGTCCACCAACTTTTTTGTCCATTAATTTTACATTAAGAATTATGCTAGTATGTGATACAAATGAAGGCACAAATCTTAAATATAACATTGATGTATAGCACAAATCTCAAAGCATAATGAATGGATAAAAAGTTTGGTGGACAAGTGCTTCTATCCACTTAAGTTTATAGGAGCTTTACTCGTCGAGCTTGAGTAAGGCTACTATAAACTTAAGTGGATAGAAGCCCTTTGTCCACTAATTTTTTTTATCCATTAATTTTGTATTAAAATTTGTGCTAGCATGTGATACAAATAAAAGTACAAATCTCAAAGATAGCATTGATGTATAGTACAAATCTCAAAGTATAATGAAGAGATAAAAAGTTTGGTGGACAAGTGATCCTATCAATTTAAGTTTATAGGAGCTTTACTCGTCAAGCTTGAGTAAGGCTACTATAAACTTAAGTGGATAGAAGCCCTTTACATATAACTCCTATTATAAGTAGATAAAAATGATATTCATATCAAGGCTTTTTATTTTAACCTCATCCTTACCGATGTAAACACATTCCTAAAATTAAACCATGTGATGGGATGAATGTATAACTGAACGGTTGGATGGTTTATTTTTTTGACATTTTTTCCCCCCAGAATGTGATTGATTACATCGAGTTTGGAACCATATTCATATCATTATAACAAGCCATTTGTTTTTACTATCTATTTTTTGAACCCATACACAGTTCTTCATATATTGGAAACATCCATGAAAAAATTTTAAAATTGAAAAATCATGTTGATGGATTGTAAAGTATTATAAATTATCATCATTCAATTTAAAATGGTATAATATTTGAACAGAGTTAATGTATTAGTTATTTCCTAACAATATTTTAATTGCTATCCAAACAAAAGAAGTGACTGTTACTTCCAAAAATATATGAAACAAACAAACAAACAAAAAATTACTTCCATAGTTAATAGATACAAAGATTCCATTTTCTTTCCTTCATATTTGTACGTGTCCTGCACATAGTGTGAACGTGTGCCAGCCTGGCATCTCAAATCACGTGAACGGGTAAAAGAAGAGTCCAGCGGGTAAATTTGCGTAGATAGCCAAGGTCCAGCGGGTTTCTTCACCGGCCCATCAAACTATTATAAATATGCATGTTTACCTAGGGTTTTAGTGTGTGGGAGAAAAATTGCTGCGGAAAAAGGCTGCAGGGGAAAAACAACGGAGCAAAGAAAATCGAAAAAAAGGGCAGAGGGTTTTTTTGCTTCTTTTCTTTTGGCGGCTGATCAGAGAATTGAAACAGAGAGAGAAAAGGAGAGAAAAAAAGAGATTTTACAAAAGAGAGGTTAATTTCTTTTGGGTAAAAACTAGATCTTTTTTTTTTCTTTGAGACGAGCTTGTGGATTGTACAAGTCGTCGGTGTTCTTCTCATTGTGGAATCTCCCCTCATCCCTCCCGTGGACGTAGGCAAGTTTGCCGAACCACGTAAATCTCGTGTATTTATTGTTTTCTGGGTGTTGGCTATTGCTTGTAGGTTCCCTCAACATTTCAGTCCTAGAACTGATGAGAGGAAGAGTGCATATTTCACTTTGATGAAATATCTCACTTTCGATTCTTGTTTCCTTTGAGAAATAAGAATTTCACTATCTATTCTAGTTTCCTTTGAGAAACAAGAATATAGAGGTTGACTTGTGCTTTTGGGACAACAAAAGCTAGGGCTATCTCTCAGGTGATATCGCTTCCGTGGCGGTGGGCGTGACTCTGCGCTCAACACATAGGCACACGCATAAAGGGATGGAGTCTGGATAGTTTTCTTCACCCTTTTGTTTAAGATAAACTATTTACTATCAATAGTTAATAGATACAGAAGATGAGCTCAAGCTATAAACGACAAAGTCCGTGAAAAATCTTGAGGAAGGAGAGACTCGGGAGTATTTTGTCAATAAGCTCTTCAAACAGTTCACTAAAATTGTGGTTATCAACTCATACAAGACAGTACACAGACTATTAAGCCAATAATTGGTAGCCTTGCTTAGTAACTCGACAAGTGAGATTAACATGGCCTTTTATTTCTTAGGTACTTTGACGATTCACCTGAATTCCATTATAGCAGAGATATACATGAAGATCTTCATATATGTGCACCAATATATATTCTAAAACTTTAAATGTATACTTATATATACTCCAAATGCAAAACAAAAATCTTTCAGAAACTCGAACACATCTGTATTAGACAAAGTATACGCGAGAATGATAGCTGAAAATAAAAATTCAACTTGTCCTCGAACGAATCCTCAACAAAGGAACATCTTTAAACTGTGAACTCCTCCTTAGAAAAATATCCATCTTCAAGTTCTTCACAACTGGAATTAAAATTACAAAGTTGAGAGGAGAGGAAAGAATATGAAGTTAAACATAAACGTGACAAGATAGCATAAAGATATAGTAAAGCAAGGATAATAAAATACTACAAACCGTGAAGGTTCAGTAAGAACTAACCAATGAAAAATAATGTATTTCACTTTGTAAACGAGTAAAAACCGAAGTACCTAGCTCTTCATATGGTCAGCAGCAGAACGTTATCTATATACCATGCAGAACTAAGGGGCAGGGATGTTTATTTTACCCAAGAGGGGTGGCGCACAATGTGGAGCAGATATCCAGAGATTTTCTCTGTACTGGAAAGCCTGATGAATGGTGATCATTAAAAAGCTTGTAAGTAGTTTGGGTTGGGATCTCAACCGAAAACGAGCTAAATTACTAGATTGGTATCTTTAGTAGGACCATATTTCCAATGTGGTTTTTTCTCCTTTCACTGGCGACATTATGGTATTAATATCAATATTTGATGTCAATTTGGTGTTATTTTCTATAGAAAAAAATAGCCAAATTGATATACGAAATGATAGAAAAAATAAACAGTTTGATGTTAATTTTGATATTAATACCATAATGTCATAAGTGAAAGAGAAAAAGAAATATCATGTTAGAAAAAGGGTCCTACTAAAAATGTCTGGTGCGACATAATTATGTACCAAAATTGCAAGTGCACAATTCATCAAGTTATAGTATAAAAAAGATATCGATCCCACGAAGAAGGTGATTTTAAGAGATTATTAAACTTGGTTCTTATATTTTGTGCGTGACAATTAGGAATAAAGAATAATTGTGATTGTATGAGTGGTTATTTTGATTTATATGCAAGAGGTAATAAATTAAATTTTAGAGGAGAGAAGGAAGAATTAAAAAATAAATGAAATCATAAGGCAAGAAATATGAATTAATAAAATCAAGAAATAAAACCAAAAATAAAAAGAAAATTTAAGAAAGTTAAGATGAAGGATTCAAAAGAGGTAAGAAATCTAGAATATAATCCACTAACCAATTTCAATTACAAAATATAAACTATTCTCTTTTTATCATATTTCAACTTAGATTTATTAAGCATAGATTATCAAACCATTTAAGGAAAGTGTAACCTATCAAATTATCATCTAAGTTAAAATCACTATTCATGATAAGAACAACAACATGATAATAATCCTAGAATTCATAAGCATAACCTATCAAACCATTTAAGGAAAGCATAGATTATCAAATTCTTCTTCTACCGATTAGTTCTCTAGTTGATTATCCTAACATGAACATTTTAAGTACAAGAGAATAATTCATACAATATAAAGGAAATTAGACTAGTTTCATATAATTCTAAACTTCCTACAAGAATTAAATTCACATCTTTAAAAAATAAAAACAAGAAAAAGAACTAATTACAAAATTAAAAAGAAAAGCAAAATCTAAACTATGAACAAGAAATAAATCTAACTACAAAGAAAATAAAAATCTACACTACAAAATATATTACAAAAATTAAATGCGAGAAAATAAATCTATTCTACAAATTAAAGTGCAAAAAGAAATAAAAATCCTTATTAGCTTCAGCAACAAGGATTAGATCATCTGCAAACATTAAATGTGAGATTAAAGGGCCCTTCTTGCCCAAAGGCATAGGCCTCCACTTATTGGCCTGCACACAATCCAGAATCATATGTGTGAGTTTTTCTAAACAGAGGACAAAAAGATAGGGTGAGAGGGGGTCACCCTGCCTTATACCCCTAGAGGGCTTGAAATCCGAAGAAGTATTACCATTCCACAAGACCGAAAGTGAAGTAGTAGTGATGCACTTCATAATAATATCACACCATGCTTCGGGTATCCCAATTTCATTTAGAATTTTTTGTATAAAATTCCATCGGAGCCTGTCATAGGCTTTTTCAAGATCCACTTTAATAAGCATGTACGCCTTCTTCCCCTTTATTTTATTCATCGAATGGGAAATTTCCTTAGCAACAATAATATTGTCTTGGATAACTCTTCCGGGAACAAAACTTGTTTGGAAGGGACTGACAAGCTTACTCATCAGGGGCTTAATCCGTTCCACAATAATCTTAGATAAAATCTTGTAGGTTACGTTGCATAACGATATAGGACGAAATTGGGAAACATATTCTGGATTAGAGATTTTGGGAATGAGAACAAGTTGGGTTTTGTTTACCTCCTCTATTCTGTTTGTCTGCATGGTAGCTTCTTGTATGAAACTGACGACATTGCTCTCCACCACATCCCAATTTTTCTGGAAAAAAATTGCTGGAAAGCCATCTGGCCCCGGAGTTTTAAAGGGCCCCATACGAAACACAGCACCCTGCACCTCTTCCTTCGAAATATTATCGTGAAAGGCCTCCTGGAGATAAGTTGTAAGATTAGGGAAGCAGTGATGAGTAGGCACAGCAGTCACCGCTCCTGGATCCTCTTCACAATAAAGCTTTTTGTAAAAGTTTATCACCATTTCCTTAAGCTCACCCTGTTCTTGAACCCATTCCTCTCTCTCATTTTTGAGCTGCAATACCCGGTTCTTGTGTCTCCGACGTATCGTTTTTGTGTGATAGAATTTGGTATTTCTGTCCCCCTCTTTAATCCATGAACCCCTATACTTCTGGAACCATAGAATTTCCTCATATTTCAAGAGTTCTGCTAGTTGAAGATGTAGTTCTTTTTCCAATCTGTCCAAAAAGGGGTTCCAGCCTATATCCATGACATTTTGAATCCCTTTCAGACGTGCCATAATGGTTCTCTTCTTATGTTTCAGATGGCCAAATAAAAATTTATTCCATTGAGCTAGTTTCATAGACAAGTGATGGAGAGCAAGATTAATCCCCTCCCCTGCACCCCATTCTTTTTTAAGCATTCCCCTAAATTCAGGGTGATCTTGCCACATAGCTTCAAAACGGAATGGCCGACATCTGAGAGTAATGATATCAGCATTCGAAGACAGCAACATAGGATGGTGATCCGAATAAGTACGGGGAAGAATTCGCAAGAAACCGTCAGCAAACATCGTTCGCCATGAAGAGTTACATAAAGCTCTGTCTAGTCGTTTGAAAACTCTGGGGAGTCCATCAAATCGTGGCCCCCTCCAAGTGAATTTGGGTCCGACTGCTCCAATATCCATAAGCTTGCAATCATCAATCCATTGACTAAAATTCAAAGCACTCATGCGATCAAAGTTATTATTCCCGCCAATCTTCTCATGCCTGGACGTAATGTCATTTAGGTCCCCCAACAATATCCACGGGGAGTTAATAGTTGTGCTCAGGTCAAGGATTTTATTTCTTGCATCCCATTTGAGATTCTCATTAGGATTGCAGTACATAGCAGTCAAAAGCCACTCCTGACCCTTATTGTTAATAATACACATATGAACAAATTGCAAATCGGTGTTGAGGATGGAGACCCGCAATTTTTTATTTTGCCAAGCTATCCAAATACCACACGACCTCCCTCTGCCTTCATTGACAAACCACTCATTGTAATTGAGTGATCGAAGAAGACTAGGAGCCTTCATCGGGTTCGCCTTCGTTTCAACTAAAATTAACATATCAGGATTGTCAGAAGCAAGATATTCACGTATTACACGTCGAAATTCTCTGCTTCCTGCACCTCTACAATTCCAAAAGAGAATTTTGTCAGCCATGGAAAAACCAAAAAATAAAGGAGGAATCAAGTTTCCATGTCACCCCTTGATGGGTCAGGAGGTTTACTCTTTGGGTCCTCCACTATCATAGAGTTTACATCTGGGGATGCAATGTCACCCAAATTCACGTTGTGGTTATCAGTTCCAGTTATGTCCCTGTCTTGCTCATTGTTTTGCATCACCTCTTGTGCCTGATAATGTGCCAAGTTTATTATAATTCCCCTTTGAGAATCAGTAGCAGTTCTCTTTCTTTCCCGTCGTGCTTTATTTGCCACTCCTTTAGTTCCAGCACCCAC